GGGGGGGGGAGGTCGGGGGGCGTCAACTAATTACTAACCACGGCTGCTGTAGGTAGTGTAGTCCGCGGCTCTGTAATTAGCGCTCGCTAGGAGAGGAAAAGGGGCCGCGGCGGCGGCTGCGGCGTGTTACAGTAGTCGGGCGCGTGGCGCGGCCGATTACGGAGTACGCCGTGCCGTTGCAGTAATTGTTTAAGCGACGCGGGAGATGCTTGCGTGCGTGCGCGTGCACTGTAAAAAAAATTGTTGTTACTTAACAACAAATTCGTTGTTAAGTTTTTAACTGACTCGTGTTGTTGTACAATAGCTTCGATTGTCAAATAACAGCAAATGTTGTCCAGTTACAGTAATAAAAAAAGTCAGCAAAAACAAAATGGTGCCCATTAGTACAATATGAACAATGCATTGACAACAAACGTAGTTGTTTTTCAACAACTTCTGTTGTTCTCGAACAACTGAGGTGCTGGTCAACAACTGAGCTGTTTTTTAACAACTAATTTTTACAGTGTGCGTGTGTGTTAAATCGCTGAGGAAGCAATAAGGGCTTTAAAAAATCAAACGCGATATACACAGCGCAAGCCGCATATAAGCGGATTGATAACTGACCATGGAAATGAGACAGTGAGACAGCTTACTGGTAAAAAAAAAAAAAAAAATAGAACAGGCAATCAAAATTTAATTTTTGGTGCCCCCAGGAAACAACTGATTGGATGTACATCAAAAGAGCACCTCCAATATGAACTGCCTGATAAATGTCAGCGTAACAAAAACTGAGATTATTTTCTTTAAAAAAATTGAAGGAGGGGGAACGAAATTTGATTTAGGGTTGGTGATGGCGCAGGTGGCACCAGGACGTGTGGCTGGCGCGTGTGCGGGGCTCAAGGTTCCCGTTTACCCGCGACGCACTTTCGCCCCGCGCGGTTCCCGCGCTCTTACCCCGGGGGAAGTTGGCGAGCCAATAAGTTTGCGAGGAAAAGCCGCGCCCGACTCCCCGCGCACCATCAGAAGCAGCGCGCGAGAGCGAGACGGGAGGAACCAATGCGATCGAGACCGGAGAGGTAAACGGAAGAGACACCGCCGGCGCCGTGTACGTGAAATTATTCACCTCGACTCTCCCCGTCGCCTTCCGCCATCCAGGATTGAGACAGAGACGGAGACGGAGACGGAGACGGAGACGGAGATGGAGGAG